GAGGGAGGCTGGAGTGCCCATGGTGGTGCAGACGGCGTTCCAGGAGCAGGGTGCCCTTGTCAACGCCTCCGGGCACGACATAGGCACTCGAGACATCACCACGTTCTCGTCTAACCCGCTTCTTTGGCATCTGTTTTACGTCCATCCGGATTATAATAAAATCATGGGTGGAGAGTTCAGCCTCGTGCACAGGGTGAGTGGTTGCGTGGGGTCAAAGTTGGGTCGGATTTTTCATGTATGAATTTGGAGTTTGGGCTGTTTTTTTTCCCTTATACGGATTTGAGGTTAGGCCAGATTTTTTTAATGCCTGTTGAAAGGTAGATCAGATTTTCCAATACAAATTTGAAGTTTGATTTTTGTCTATACAAATTTGGGGTTAGGATATGGATATTTTTTTCAACAGTATGTGTATATGTATATAAGATATTGAACATTCTTAGAATATATCTATTTGATAGTTAACATTATAATATGTCTATCTATTAAACTTGGTTCATGTATTCTCAATATTTTGGATCCGAAGAACATTTGTAGCTGATATTTCAAGCTCTAGATAATCCATCCAAAATACCAGTCAAATATATCCATTTTCAAATTCCAGCCTTGCTATGAAGTGTACGTGTTCCCCACCTTTAGCCAGCGCTTTGCAGCTGAACTCGTGCAAATTGCAAATACTGTGAATCAATGGTCAACAGGAACAACAAAGGTGAGTGTATGTTTTCGTAAGATGAAGATAAAAAAGTTATGATTTATTTATGAATAAGTAAAGAAGGAACACAGATTAAATGTTGTTGAGGGTTATAAATACAGATAAAGATAAAGTGGGGAATTATGCAATGGAAGAGTGCGAGAACAAGATTGATTTTTTATTCTACATTGCAAAGTCTGTCTGGAGTTTATCGTCTTTGACATTTAATTTGGGACAATTTGATATTTGACCGACTGTGTTAGTCGCTTTATTGCTCAATTTTGCAGCTCAATAAAAAGGCTATTGTGCTTATAAAAGGGGCCTGTCTTTCATTATTTCCTTCCTGTGTATGAGTTAGTTTGCCTGTCTGTCTGCCTGTCTTGTATTGTTGCATGACTACCTGTCTTTCTGTTTCTTTTGTCTGGTAGCCTTTATCAGTCATTCTGTCAGGTAACCAGTCTCTCTTTCTTTCTTTCTTCCCCCCCCCCTCTCTCTCTCTCTTCTCTCTCTCGTCTCTCTCTCTCTCTTCTCTCTCTCTCTCTCTCTCCTCTCCTCTCTCTCTCTCTCTCTCTCTCTCTCTCTCTCTCTCTCTCTCTCTCTCTCTCTCTCTCTCTGCCTTTGTATCTTTCTCTGTCTGCCTAATTCTCTGTTTCTGTCTCCCCTTCTCTTTGTCTTTCTCTATCTGTTTCATTCTCTGTCTCTGCCCCCCTCTCTCTCTCTCTCTCTCTCTCTCTCTCTCTCTCTCTCTCTCTCTCTCTCTCTCTCTCTCTCTCTCTCTCTCTCTCTCTCTCTCTCTCTCTCTCTCTTTCTTTATATGCCTTTGTATCTTTCTCTGTCTGCCTAATTCTCTGTTTTCTGTCTCCCCTTTCTTTGTCTTTCTCTATCTGTTTCATTCTCTGTCTCTGCCCCCCCCCCCTCTCTCTTCTCCTCTCTCTCTCTCTCTCTCTCTCCTCTCTCTTCTCTCTCTCTCTCTCTCTCTTCTCTCTCTCTCTCTCTCTCTCTCTCTCTCTCTCTCTCTCTTCTCTTTCTCTCTCTCTCTCTCTCTCTCTCTCTCTCCCTCCCTCCCTCCCTCCCTCCCTACTTCTAATCCCCTCCCCCCATTTCCACCACCCTCAAATATCGCCCCCACTTTAATCCAAATCCTTCCCCAACGTTCCTTCTCCCTCAGCAGGACATGAGAAAGAAGAACGGCGTGGAGGAAGTTCCCACGGTCGACCAGTGGTTCTCCCAGCTCGGTTTAGAAGACCTTTTGGCTGAGCTCTTTGGCTCCATCTTTCAGAATATTGATGGATTCTCTTATCCTAGTCATACCCGGTGAGATAAAGAGATTGGGAATTCATAGTTGTTTTTGAATGTAGTAATATGTTGTTGTGTTGTTGTTGTTTAGCATGATAGTGTTAAAGTAAGTAATGCCGTATAGTATAATTAGTAGAAGGTAGTAATGCCCCAGTAGTATAATATAGTATACGTAAAGTAGTAGTAGTGTAGTATAGTCTAGCTATAATCAGTAGAGTAGTAATTGCGTACTACATAGTTGTATAGTAGAGATTGTTAGTATATAGTTATATTATAGTAGTGTAAGATTAGTATACTAGTGAGTTCGTAGTATATAATCAGAGTATATTAGTAGTATTGTATACTAACTATTGTAGTAATAAGTAGATTATAGTATTATTGTAAGTACTAAGTAGCTGTCATAGAATTATATAAGTAGTAGTTAGTATGGTAGTACAGAGTTAGTAATTTAGAAGTTGTACTTGTATTGTTTCAATAGTTTGTAATGATAATATTTTAGCTTATAATGAATAGCTAGATAATTAGAGAATATTATAGTATATTGATTGATAGCAACCGAATGAAGTATATAATGTTAATTGCTAGCGATAATACTAATAGTAGCAGTATGATCGAGTAGTACAAATAAGAGTAGTCAGAGTAGTTAGTATAGTAGAAGTAATGTAAATAGTAATAGAGAATATAGTATAGTAGTAGTATAGTATAGTATAAGAGTACTAGTAGACTAGTTGTAGTAGTATAGTGTATAGTAGTAGTAGTAAGTCAGTAATAGCAACTATATTAGAAGCTGAAACTTCGAGTTCGTACCATTATCATTACTTATTCTTTATTTGTACATTCCATGACATGCATATTGGAAGGACAGAAACGGCAGGGCACTGACTATAGATGTTCTCCAGTAACTATGAAATATAAACAAACTCTCCAATAAACACAACACAGCCCAAGTAAATAAAACAGATTTCGTATAAAAGAATAAACACATTACTCTCATAAAGACCCAATGAATAATGGATACTAACTTTACCCTTTTCAGGACGCTATAACACTGTCTCTCATTGCAAGATTCAAGGCAGATGAGTTACCTGGGTTACCGAAGCACAATGATGCCTCAGTTGCCACTTTGCTATCAATCTTCTTACACCTAGTGAGCTCTACAAGTGAGAAATCTTTGGTAATCAATGGATTCATACAGAGATCAAATATATTATTGCCTTTTGATCTGTTTTACATTCCCATAGTGCTTTATTTCCAAATGTGAGTAAATAAATAAGAGAGTGTGTTGAAAGTTCCGACAGGGATTGCAACAATTTATTCATTAATTAGTCTTCACCAAAGAAGAGAAGAGAGAGAGAGAGAGGGAGGATTAAGCAGAAGGAGGAGAGAGAGAGAGGAATGAGAGAGAGGAGAGAGAGACGCGAGAGACGGAGAGAGGAAGAGAGGAGAAAGATCGAAAAAAGAGAGAAAGAGAGAGAGAAAGGAGAGAAAAAGAGAAGAGAAAGAAAGAGAGATGAGAGAGAGAGAGGTTCGAGAGAGGAGAGAGAGAGAGAGGACGAGTCGAGGAGAGGGAAGAGAGACCGAAGAGGAGGAGGAAGAGAGGAGAGAAGAGAGAGGTAGAGGTGGCCAGAACGGTGAGTCACAGCTTGACTCCGCCGCACCGGTGTACGCCCACGATGCTTCCGCGAGCGACGACGGCAGGCGCTGTATGGCTAGCTGTGGGTGACACGTGGGAGAGACGAGATAGAGAGAGAGGAGAGAGAGCAGAAGAGAGATGCAGACGAAGATGATGAGACCNAGAGAGAGAGAGAGAGAGAAAGAGAGAGAGAGAGAGAAAGAGAAAGAGAAAGAGAAAGAGAAAGAGAAAGAGAAAGAGAAAGAGAAAGAGAAAGAGAGAAAGAGCAAGAGAAAAAGAAAGAGAAAGAGAGAAAGAAAAAGAGAAAAGAAGAATAAAAGGAAGACAGGGAGATAAAAAGAAACTAACACTTACCACAAAATATTTATCACTGCTACAGTTAACTCACAGTACTCATCAACTACGACAGTAAACTCAGCTCACAATACTTATCCTACATCTAACTCACCATACTTACCACCGTTTACTCTCTTTATTAGGGTGGTGAAGTGGAGTTCCCTGTACAAGAGTGTCGCATCAAGCCAGAAGTGGGTCATGTACTTGTGCATCCAGGTCGTCTCACACATCCAAAGATTTTCCACAATGTGACGGAAGGAGTTCTTCATAAGGCTATTATCATGATTGATAGTAAGGACAAAATGCTTGATTAACAGTACTTAACTGTTGATGGTGTCTGCCTTTTGAGATTTAGTGTGTATATACTGTAGAAGGAATAGATTAGTTTGCTTATAATATGATGGGCATTATAGTATATCATCTCCTCAAGTCAGGAACAAAATGTAGATTAATTTTGTCATTTCTTTTCTGCAAACTTTTATTTCCTGCTATTATTAGTTTCATATGAATGCACTAGGTAATAACTCCCATGATATTACCTGCATATTATATAGTAATATAGTTATATGACTGAAGTTTAGCATTAGTTTTTGAAAATCTGGATTTATCTATTAAAGCAAGTGTTGACAGATCTAATAAATTATACCACATGTATTTTTGTTTCTATCTTCCTATCATTATTGTCATTTATTGTCCATCATGAGGAAGACTCTAGTTATTGATTGTGCTGTTTGTAGTTAATGTAAAAGAAAAAAAACAAAAAAACTTGAGAAGCAGCTAAGGAAATACTTTTTTCAATACAAACTAATTTTCAAAAGGAGAAATATTGAGAAATTTCACACGTAATTTTGGTATAAAGCATAAAACTCAAGTGAATTCTTTGTACAACGTAAAGGACAATCATAAATGAAAATAATAGTTCCTGAAAACCATATATTTAAAAAATTGTACCTAAAAAAAGCAAATTCATATTATACACATTCCATGATATACAGATAATTCTCAATTTGAGAAACCTGAAAATGAAATATAAAAATATTTCAGTTTGAACTTTTACAATAATCACATTTCAACTGTCTCATCAAAAGCAACAAAACATCCACAAAATGTATCACATTATCGAAATAATCTAACATCAAAACAATAATACCTGAACCAAAAATTGCACCTAATATTCGAGAACATGTCACAGTCCTGCTGATATCAAAATACTGGTAGAGAGACACTTGCTATTCAGGAACTTTTCAAAATGTTAAAATAAGACTTTTCCTGATAAGACACTAAAGGATTTTAGTGATCTAGTTTACCATACCAGCTTATCTTAACATAAATTACCGAGTTAAGTGTCAATTGGCACATAGAGAACGAATGTTAACGAAAAGCGTAAAGGTTTAGTGGAGTGTAAAATACCCTTCTCAAGAGATTCTATTGTACTAAATAGAATTTAAATGCCTACTGTTATATATCTTTTTAATCCAAATTGCAACAAACAAAAATGAACAAATATGAAATTATGGTATCCATACTAGATTTCATACTGACAATAGAACTCTCTCAGATGTTAACAATAATTGAATAACACATTTATGCAACACTGCTCTGTTATTTATATAAAAAAGGATATATTAACAATAAAAAAACTAAACAAAAAAATATGTACATCACAATATATCTTATCAACAATATCTGCACCACAACAAAAACTGCAAAAGGAGTTCTTCTTCCTGTGGGCAGGTAAAACCAACACAACATAAAACAGGCTCCATTACCGAAACATGTCCACGTACTCGTCTTCCATTGGGTGAGTTTCCCCAACGATCACAAGGGAATGCAAGGGGCCCCCAAGGTCAACCTTTGCCATATCCTCCAAAGTACAAGTTTTCAGCTGCTGTGTGGGGGTCCCTACCCTAGCCAAGCCTATGACTAGCTGGTCTGGGGTCACAGGCGTTGCTTTCCCTTGTTCGGCTCGCATCTTGATGATCTCCAGGAGCTGTATGGCTGCCTGAGCCACTGTCATGTATCTTGGAGGTTCATACACCTTCCGACCCTTTATTAGGTTCTCCACACTTTGTTCTTTCACCTTTATGTCAAGAAGGCACAGGGTATGCCAGCCATTTTCCATGTTGCTACAGATTTTGTCATAGTAGCTGTCTGGACGCCAAGTATCATCCCAGAAAGGCAAAGAGACGGTTTCGCCAAATGAGTACAGCTGGAGGCCACAGCATCCTACAGCATTCAGTATGGATGCATTGTGGACTATATTTACTGGGATGTTCTCATCCAGGGCCCGAATAACCAGATCTGCATGCGTTGTGGCTCCAAATGGATCTCCAACCACAAGGAATGCCACATCCCCTTCATGTGTGCATTGGAGGATGCCATCTGACTGCTGCTCCACTTGCTCCCTGTCTGACACCTGAATTTCTCGGCCAAAGAGCTCTTGGAGGGCCTCTACGCCACCCTCCATTATGGAAGTATAGCCCTCCAGGAACACACGGGAACACTTTTTAATGATGTCTAGGCCTTTGACCGTTACATCACCTGTTTAAGAATAGAGCAACAATCCTTCAGTCCTCTGTACACACTATTCAACTAATAATTGGACAGACTAATTCACATTTGAATATTCAAATTAGATTCAATATCAACACAAAATAAACACATATAAATTTCATACCTAGGACTTAGTAAACAAACCACAGAATCTACACAAAAATCATTCAAATGCTAATATCTAATCTACACTAAACAAAACATTATTCCAAATACTAACCAGGCTGACCAAGTCCCAAGCCAATAAGATGGAAGACACCTCTTTTGCTGGTACTATTGCGTGGTTCAGTTTGCTGGCCATTGAAATAAGCCGCAAGCTTCGACATAGCATCTTCCTCTATGGGATGACACTCTCCGCATATGATCAAAGAATGCAGTGGCTCCCCAAGATCAGACTCTGCAAGCTCTGAGGAAAAGAAGATCTCTATAACAGATACAAATATTTTGGCTTGGAAGTATAGTAGTGCCCCTGCATTCACAAGGATTATGTTCTGACACCTGCTGCAAATAGCTGTGAACACCATAAATAACTTATTTCATGGGTACATTCAAAAGTACCATAAAGCTCAATCTATAAGTTACATGACATAATATAACAAATGACAACTAATCATGAATCTAAATAATTACGATCTCAATGCTTTCTGATGCAACAGATTACCATCAACTAGTATATGCTTTTGTTTCATATCTTCAAGGCATAAATCTAAATATTTTCTTAACACACTACTTGTTTACTACTGATGTAAATTTAGCACCCTGAGGTGCCACAACAGAAATAGGGTAATAATTTTTTCTTCACCATTTTCTTAATGAGTGTTCTTTTTTTTGTTTTTGCACCTCTGAAACAGAATTTTCTCTTTCTAAATCAGGTCAAGAATTTTCATTTTCTCACTGCTTGGAAACACTTCATGTTTTTTGAAGAGCTGCCAGTAATATTGTACCAAGGAGGTATTATCAACAAAAGGTTACAATGTTATTTACAAAGAATAAAGCAGGACCACACTGACAAAAGATGGACATAGGGTAACGAATTGACAGGAAAGTGAGACAGTAAGGGTTGGGGGAGACGAAGACATGAATCTCATATTAAGAACAACAGAGGCATGGACTACTTAGAGTAGCAAAAATAATTTGATACTTTATTTTAATTTCCACAAGATATACATACATATACAAGATATATGAACATATATATATATATATATA